CCTACAATTTTTTGTTTATAACGTAGTTTATACGGATTATTTTCAAAAAAATATACGTATTTTGGAAATGTTGAGTCGAATTAGTCTAGAATCGATTAATTTTATGAAAGAAAACCTTTCAAACAGCCGTAGTCCGTAAACTATGATTCCTACAAAATTGATTCATAAAGAACGGAACGTATCTACCGTCTTATAGGGGGATCTACTGTATAACCAAATTACATTTCAAAATAAGCAACGATTTGTTTTAAGAACAAACAACAAAGCAATCAACAGTGGATCAGGAAGCAAAACAAATCGCTCACACATACTTCACATTCGCTGATTTTTTTTTGCAGCAAAAAAGTAAAGGAATATATTAAGAAAGGAACCAAATACAAACATATAGATACAAAGTTACAGATTAATCTGCACAAGTTAATCTGTGTTTTGCATTCTTTCTAAAGAATAAATTGGATTATTGCTCAAATAATAAGTAGGCGTGTTGAATCCGTATATCTCATCGTCGATGTAAACAGTTTTTATTTTGCAGTCAGATAATCTAAATGTCATGGAATTTGGTGTATAAATTGGAAGTTTTACAATTTCAAAATGATTGAATGAAAAATCAACATAAGTCAAGTTGTGTTTTTCCCAATTTATCACGGGCCATTCACTTAAACTTGTATTACTCAAAATAATATAACCCAGGTGTTTGCTGCGGCCAAAAATTTCACCCGAAATACTTCTCAGGTTGTTAGAACTTAGTACCAGAATCCTTAAATTGTTAAGCGAAAAGAAAATATTTTCAGGTAAACTTGTGATCCGATTTTCAGCTAAATTAAGACTTTCGAGACTCGGCAAATTACGAAAAATGTCTTCAGGAAGATCACTTAATTGATTATTACCCAAAATAATCATTTTCAATTTAGAAAGTCCATCGAAAATTCCGTCTGGAAGTGTTGATATTCTATTTCCGTAACAGTGTAACTCTCGTAGATTCTGATTATTTTTGAAAACTCCAGACGGCAGATGATCAATTTTGTTCGTGTCTAAATCTATAATCTCCAGGTTAATCGCATCGGTAAATAAATCTTCTTTAATTTTAGACAAAGAACAGTTTCCGGCATAAAATTCAGTCAAGTTGATCAATCCTTTCAGAAATCCGGATGGAATTGAATCTAATTCCCAGTTAAAAGCAATAAAAATAACTCTTAAATTCGAAAGTCCTCTCAACAGTTTACCGGGTAATACCTTTATTTCGTTACCCTCCAAATTCAGATATTCCAGTTGAGTGAGCTTCCTGAAGACAGATTGATCAAGGGAATCAATGTTATTGTAACTCAAATCCAAACGTCGAAGATTGGGAACTTCATTAAACAGTTTAGGCGGAATGTTCAATGCTCCATACCAATAATTTCGCTCTTCCTGCATATAAATAGAATATTTATGTACCCGCAAATCCACGAGAGAAGGAAGATTATCTAAAGTCAAGTTGACTAGCTCTGAGGTCCCCGAAATCTTGACAGTTTTTAGTAATGGCATATCAGTAAACGCTATACTTTCGAAGTTCTTCGGAAGCGTTGTAGTGAAAATGTTGACTTCGGTGATGGCATCGCTGGAAACAAAACTTCTGACATCGAAATGTGTTGCGTGACAATGATTAATTTGTAATTTCTGAATATTTCTGGTGTCCAAACATCGCATCAAACGTAAATCGATATGATCTTTCCCGCACATGATTGTCATGGTATTTCCTACGATTTCGGCCTTCGACTTCTCGGATAGATAACATGTGTTATCTGGTGAACAAGAAAACCAATCCTTCCAGAAATCTTCACAACAATTTATCGATATCATCAAATTTAAAAAGATTACGAACCTAATCTTGTGCGGAAACATCGCCGTTCCTTTTATCAGACTTTCTTCTAATAGGTTCTTTTATTTAATTTAATATAATCGAACACGTTGTATAATAGGATGTTCGTTAACACCAGAGAGTAACAATTTGTTGCTGCTTTTACTGCTGTTTCCTCTTGTGACTTGACTCCACATAAGACTTGACGGCTTCCTAATGATTTTTCATTTCGATTTACTATCGGAAAAAACACTATGTCCACGTGTTTTCCTCTTTTTTTCGCTCTTTCTCCTTTATATTATATTTTATCTCTTAGTTACAACATATAATTATGCCGTTAAATTAACGTCCTGTTAGTTATTTCCGTTGATAAGTATATCCGGTTTGTCGACTTTTATCAAATTGAACGAAATATAATTTCAAGAATAAAATAATGTTTTAAAATATTATTTAAATTTCGATTTGTTGGGCTTCAAAGAAATTATTTACAAACATCCGAATTTAATAAATTCGACATTTTAAAACGTTTTGCGTGTGTGGTTTCTTTTTAACTCTTGCTGCCCCGTGAGCACTAAGAGGACCTCTTTTTGCAAGCCCATTATGGGTTCGGCCAGGCCCACAATGGGGCTACCGGATGGTGAGGGACGGGCCCGACATATCCTTGCGTGTGTGGTTGATAACCCAACCTTATAATTGATAACAGTAGACGGATATTTTCGTTTTTCATTTTTCTCCAAATAATTGAGGTACAGTGGAGCCTCGATTATCCGACCCCAGATTAACCGACCGTCCTAGTCGGCAAATTTCAAATGTCCGCTAGTGATGTGGCGCTACAATATTTGGCTATGTCTTGACTACTTTAATATTATTTTACGTGTTTTAGCTGGCAACACTGGATCGACCATGAAAGGGAACCAGTATTTAAACGAGGCTTATTTTTCTAATTTTTAACGATACAATAGCGACGATTATTATTATTATTTTTAAATTTGATAGGCTTAACATGGAGGAAAATTCAACGCGAAGTAGGTTAATAGCGGTATACTAATATACTAACTACATGTGATATAATAATATACTACACTAATAATGGATTTTTTCAAACTTTTCGGTTATCCGACTTTTTAATTATCCGACCAACCCCAGTCCCCAATTGAGTCGGATACACGAGGCTCTACTGTAATTGGGAATTTCTATAATTAAATTGTTTACGTTGTGTTATAGTTATATATATATATGTTAAAGTTGAATTTAAAAAAAATCTAACAACGAGTTGCGTAACTTTCCCGGCTATTATGAGATTTTACTTTAAAAGTAACATTTGTATTATTAATTAATTAATTAATAACTAAAATTGAATGTGGCGCCAACGGTTATGAGATTTTATTATAAAAACTTTATATATTTTAATTATTATAAAATAGCAAAACACTTAATTTTGATTATAGATGAGATTTTTTACATTAGCATTTGCAAGTTTTTATAAACTTGCAAATGCTAATGTTAATTAATCACGTGCAAAATCCCCATTAACTCCGAGCCCACCCCGAATACAACACGTGATTCCCTTATCTCCCACCACCACCAACATTAACCACCAAAATTTATCATCATCGATCCCCTTAACACGCAAACTTCCCTGCAAAATTTCAGAAATTTTCGAGAAAAAAGAGGGGAAATTATTTAGTTTCAAATTAATTTGGGGACTATTTTGTGTGGGTGTTTGTTTGTGTTTTTGTGTTTCTGGAACAATTTCATTCACTCTTTGAAGCTTAACTCCTGCGCTTTTTCCTCGAAAATTTTTGAAATTTTACAAGGAAGTTCGAATGTTTGGGCATGAATGCTGTTAAATTTTAGTGGTTTCTGTTATAGAAAAACTAACGTGATCAAACAATACATGATTATTGAAACCCATCATAGACTGGGTGGTAAAGGATAAGACCACAGCTCATAAAAATTAGCAAATTTACTAGAAATTGAACCCGGATTCCCAATGCTACATCCGGCAGCCTTTATCATTTCGCCTTGTTTAATGATTTATATATTAGGAAGTTGTTGCTATTTATTAATGTATGTAAGACACAATTATAAAGCATTTTTTCTGTGTGCTTCAGCGTGATTTATATGAAGGCCATTTTCAAACATATGTAAGCAGCAGACCAAGTAACCTTACTCTTTTATAATGTAAACCCTCATACTTTAATAAGTGTTGCCCGTAGTGATTTGACTTTGGTATGGCCAAATGACCACACCAAAGCCAAATCACCTATTTTGAAAAACGTAACAGTACTAAATGCTAAAATCGTAATCTTATTAGACAGACGAAAATTCTTATTTTGAAATGATTTTTGACATTACGAAGTTTATTATTATTAATATAATTACAATCTAATCGACATCCCTATAAACTTTCTATTGAGCATTTATTTAACATGAATATAAATATTTACAATGACCTCATTAATAACAATTAACTAAATGTTATACATGACCTTAAACCAATTTTGAAACAATTACAGTCGACACCCCCTATAAGACTGTTGATTATTCCGTTTTATATGAATTCCATGTTGTATGAGTCACTTAGATTTTACAAATACGTGTACCGGGCTATGAACGGCTCACGAATTTGTAAAATCTAAGTGACTCGTACAACATAAAATTCATTTAAAACGGAATAATCAACAGTGTTGTAGGGGGGTCGACTGGTATACAAAACACCATTAACACACGTCAACCGACAAAACCCAGATTATATTTCGATATACTGTATTATTATTTTATCCTCTTAAATATAAATTTCTTATATTTACAGGGATAATATACTTAATAAAATTATACCACGTGGATAATTTATATATTAAGATATTAATATTTTATTGAAATAATTTAAAATTCTGCAAATGCTCTGGATTTATATTTAACTAAAGAATACGAATCCGAGCAATTATAAAATCATTATTAACACGAGAAGAGCATAGTTTTTTAAAAAGCAATATCCGATTTTCTCTATAACAATTTCCGTGTTATTCTATTGTCTCCTCCACATGTGCAACAATCTACCTCTGTAATTTTAATAATTATAACAAATGGTAACAATACGTTCCACCCGAAATCTCTATATATAATCATACGATAGTACACATTGCAAACTTGCCTTAAACACAGAATGTAACAATTTACTGGATAAAATTTGGCCTAACGAATATAATACAAACTCTACAGTTATATCACTTCTCAAATTGAGTGTTCCATTTCATTCTTTCGTTAAAATAGGTAGGCCATACTCCAAGATCAAAAAAGATTTTCGAATATGGCCAGGTCAAGGGCCTGCAGTTACACAATAAATCATTACAATAGCCTACATCATAATGTTTAACATAGAATTTTACATTGAATTTTTACCTATGTAAAAATGCAACGGTAATGCTTTTTACCATCACAAATCAAATGATTTTCCAATAATCAATTTCTTAATAATTTTTCATGGAATTGTATTATCTCTGTTATATAGCNGTTGGTGAAGTGTAACATAGACTTGAAGCAGCATGGAATGAGTTGCCCGTTTCTGTCATCCAAGCCCAGTTCGACTCCATGGCTAAACGGATAAGGGCCGTTTTAGCTGCCAGGGGTGACATTTGTGTCTACTAATTTCGCACCCCTGTAAACCCCCAAACTGCTTGCAAATTTAATCAGTTTGTCTTCATGCCATACTGTTTACGTACAATAAATATCTTTTTTTTATTTACTTTCCTTCTTGGTGTTGCAATTTTAATGACCAGCAGTGTATATAGCGTTACAAACAATTTTTATTTGTGCTATTAAGTCTTGTGTTATTGCTTTTCGCCTGGAAAGTTACGAAACTGGTTGCTGGATTTATTTAATTTCATTTCTGTGTTTCCACTCTGTGGGCACTAAGATATTTTTTCCTATAACCGTCGTGGTTTCGGCACGTTCACGATGGTGGAGGGCGAATGATAAAAGCCATTCAAACACTAGTATTTATCACGAACAATCCATAAGAATACGTACAAATGTATAGATAACGATTAATATTATCAGTTGAAACTCGTACAATTGACAGCATATTATTGATTTTTATCACCGAATAAACCACTTAGACTATAAAATTTAATGTCTCGAAAAGAATGTTGAATTCTACAGTCTGTAAGAGGTTAATCAGACCATGTGTCGAAGTAACCTTTTAGAAAAACAAAAAAATCTGACAAAATATAAATATAGCTCCCCTAAAAGCTGTATTACAATAGCTATNACTTTTTAATTTTTAATTATTATAAAATAGCAAAACACTTAATTTTCATAATAGATCAGTTTTATAAAAACTTGCAAATGCTAATGTTAATTAATCACGTGCAAAATCTACATTAAGTCCGAGCACACTCCAAATAAAACACATGATTCTCTTATCACCCACCACCACCACCATCATTAACCACCAAAATTTATCATCATCGATCCACCTTAACATGCAAACTTCCTTGCAAAATTTCAGAAATTTTCGAGAAAAAGAGGAGAAATTATTTAGTTTCAAATTAATTTGGGGATTATTTTGTGTGGGTGTTTGTGGAACAATTTCGTTCACTCTTTGAAGCTTAATTCCTGCGCTTTTTCCTCGAATATTTTTGAAATTTTTCAAGGAAGTTCGAATGTTTGGGAATGAATGCTGTTAAATTTTAGTAGTTTCTGTTATAGAAAAACTAACGTCATCAAACAATACATGATTATTGAAGCCCATCATAGACTGGGTGGTAAAGGATAAGACCACAACTCATAAAAATTAGCAAATTTACTGGAAATTGAACCCGGATTCCCAATGCTACATCCGGTGGCCTTTACCATTTCGACTTGTTTAATGATTTATATCTTAGGAAGTTGTTGCTATTTATTAATGTATGCAAAACTCAATTATAAAGCATTTTTTCTGTGCACTTCACGCGTGATTTGTGTAAAGACCATTTTCAAACATATGTAAGCAGCAGAACAAGTAACCTTACTCTTTTATAATGTGAACCCTCATACTTCAATAAGTGTTGCCGAAGTAATTTGACTTTGGTACGGTCAAAATGACCACACCAGAGCCAAATCACCTATTTTGAAAAACGTAACAGTAATAAATGCTAAAATCGTAACCTTATTAGACAGACAAAAATTCTTATTTTGAAATGATTTCGACATTACGAAGTTTATTATTATTAATATAATTACAATCTAATCGACATCCCTATAAACTTTCTATTGAGCATTTATTTAACATGAATACAAATATTTACAATGACTTTATTAATAAGAATTAACTAAATATTATACGTGACCTTA